GAGAAATCTTCATAATGCAAAGAAAATGAAGGGCAGCAATGTCACTGCACACAAACCTTTCAAAAATTGAATGACTAAAGTCATCATCAATTTAGATAGTAAAAATAAGAGCTGAATAGGGTAACTGCTTAAGGTACATTGAAGTCTATTCACACAGGAAAAAAACATTTGACTTGTGTCCTAAATCACACAGATATCATACTTCAGAAATACCTCATTGGCTACTTTCACTCATGGGATATGGGCATGACAGGTTATGCCAACATCTCTTGTTCATCCCTAGTTGTATTTGAGAAGGTGATGGTGAGCTGCCTTCTTGAACTGCTGCAGTCCACGTGATGTAGGTAGACCCACAATGCTATTAGGGAGGAATTTCCAGGATTTTGATCCAGCGACATTGAAGGAATGCTGATATATTTCCAAGTGAGCATGGTGAGTGTTTTGGCAAGGAGCATGCAGATGGTGTTTTTCCCATATATCTTCTGCCTTTCTCCTTCAAGATGGTAATAATCATGGGCTTGGAAGGTGTTGTCAAAAGATGTTTGATGAATTTGGAAGGGTGGATGTAGTTATATAATAATTATGTCATATGATTCTGTAGATATTCATAGCCACTAACTCAAAGTCTGGATTATAGGAAACATTACTATGGTGTTCATGCAAGGCTAGTATTCTTGAAGCATTAAAGAGTTAGGGTGACCACCAAGTTGAGAAAATGCTCAAGAACGTTATGTTGCAGTAAAATTGATCTACAAACTATAGTGGCATAAAATGTAGACAACATGGATTTGTGAGCAATTGATCATACTTCAGGAATCCAATGGAATCCTTTTAAGCTGTGGTTTGATTAGTAGGTGATACAACAAACAGTCAGAGTTGTAAATAGGTTTATCAAAACATAGGAACAAGAAAGGCTATTTAGATCCTTTGAGCCCATTCTACCATTCAACGAAACCTTGGCTGATATGCACACTAATTCCACGTACCTGTCTTTGTCCCTTATTGTAATACATTTGGTCAGCTAAATTCTATCATTTCAGTATTTAAACTTAACAATTGATTTAGCAACAATTCACACACACACACACACACACACACACACAAGTGAATATATAGGGTGAATTTGTCTTTGCGGATACATCCTATTTTGTACAAAAAACACACAATCTATAGGCAGGCAATCAATGTGGCATTTTATAAATTCCTACTTTAAAAATAAAACCAGTCTGATTCCAAACCAAAACACAAATAGATTCTAAACATGGCCTCACACCTAACGTGCATTGTCTGACCTAAAATGTCACTTCTTTTTTACACTGATAAAACCTTTAGTTTTCTCAGAAAGTGACTTCAAAGGAATTTGGGGATTTACATATACATATTAATCAATTAAAACCTTCTAACTGATTAAAGATTTAACAGCATCTTAGGTTTGTTTAGTACATCCTCAAAAGTGGTGTGAATCTTTGACCTTTTACTTATAAATTCTGCCTCTGATATTACCTTTCTCACTAACACCTGAAGAAGGAGTAAGACTCCTTTCCTGCTCCTCTGATGTTGCCTGGCCTACTGTGTTCCTCCAGTTCCACATTGTGTTATCTCTGACTCCAGCATCTGCAGTTTTTACTATCTCTATAAGACTCCATAAGCTTGTGTTTTCAAATAAAGCTGTTGGACTATAAACTGGTGTTGTGTGATTTCTGACCTTGTCCACACCAGTCCAACACCGGCACCTCCACATCATCAATAATCTTAGCTACAAAGTGCCATGAAGCTTGCTGTAGCTTTTCATCCCTGAAAAGCATTATACATCAAGTGGTTCCATCCACATTGGCTGCATTTTCCTATGGGCAAGAGCTAATGGGGGTCCCTTGGGCACACTTGCTCACTTGCCCAGTCCAGGGAGTAATGTTCTCTGAGGTGGCTGTTTAATTAGATTCCTCTGAGGTCACTACCTCATTAAGGGTGACACTAGTGCTCTTGATGTCACAGGCACCATCGGAAGGACTGAAAGTCTGGAGTTGTGGCAGCGGCACCAGGAGCCTAAGTACTGAAAAAGCAGATTGCTGAGCAAGAAGGTGCCTCAACATTGAATACCTCTGGGAGGCAGGAATTTAAAGATCAGATTTCAGAGATGCTGATCCAGTAATCACTTGGGATGAGAAGGAAAAGCCCACGGGCAAAAGCCACTGGTGCTGGCATTCCTGCCCGTGACTCACTCTTTTGGTTCGAAGCATTGGGTTCTGATGGTCAGTGGCCTGCTGCAGGGAGGCTGCCTTTGTACGGCTTGAAATTTTCTCACATGTTACAGTGGCTTCCCTCTGTCTGCATTAAAATGACAGGCCATCAGCAAAATTACCTTGAATTAGGGCCTTAAGATGCGAAAATTGGCTGTGCACCTCTCTGTTCAGCAGGCAGCTGACCCACTTCCCAGAAGAAACAAAATGAGTACAATTTGATAAAGCCATATGCTGGTCTGACTAATATTGCATATGCCAAAATGGAGTTCCCATGTGAAAAACAGTGACAGGGTCAAACTGAGTCAACATGGATTTATGAATCTTGCTTGACCATTCTGCTGGAAAGTTTTGAGGAAGTAACTTTTAGAGTTGATAAAGAGGAACTGAGGAAGTAGTTACTTGGACTTTCAGAAAGGTTTCAATAAGGTCCCATGTAAGAGAATATTATGCATGCACCTGGGATTGGAGATAGGCTTGAGAGCTGGTTGGCAGACAGAAAGCAAGCAAAGAGTAAGAATAAATTGGTCATTCTGCAAAGTAGCAGGCCTTGACCATTGGGTCTGGCAGAGATCAATGCTTGAAATCCCAACATAAATACACGATTTAGATGAGGGAACTAAACGTAGTATCTCCAAGTTTGCAGATGACACACAGCTGGAGTGGGAAAGTGAGCTGTGATGAGAATGTTTCAGTGTGATTTGCAGAAGTTGAATGAGTGGGAAATTACATGGCAGATTAAGTATATTGTGAATAAATGAGGTATTCATTTTAGTAGCAAAAACAGGAAGGCAGATTATTGTCTGAGTGGTGATAGATTGAGAAGGGTGGAGGTACAAAAAGATCTGGGCGTTCTTATACACCTTTGCTGGAAGTAAACATGCAGGTGCAGCAGGTGGTGAAGAGGGCGGATGGCATGTTAGCATTCATAATGACAGGGTTCGAGTATAGATATGTCTTGCTGCAATTGTACGACAATGGTGAAACCACATCTGGAGTACTGTGTGCTGTTTTAGTTATCTAATTTGGGGACAAATGTTCTGGCTATGGACAGAATGCAATGAAGGTTTACCAGACTAATTCCTGGGATGGCAGGACTGAGATATGATAAGAGACTGAATTGGCTAGTAATGTATTGACTTCAGTTTAGAAGAATGAGGGAGGATCTCATAGAAATTTAAAAAATTCTAACATGACTGGACAAAGTAAATATAGAAGGATGTTCTCTATGACTGGGGAGTCCAATAACAGGAGTCACAGTCTATAGATACGTGGTAGGCCATTTAGGACTGGGACGAAGAGAGATTCTTTCATCCAGAAAATGTAAGCCTGTGGGATTCTCTGCCACAGAACGTGGTTGAGGCCAAAGTATTAAATGTTTTCAAAAAAGAGTTATACATAGATCTTGGAGCTAAAGGGATCAAAGGATATGGAAAGAAAGTTTGAAGAGGATATTATGTTGAATAATCAGCCATGATGATATTGAATGGCAGAGTAGGCTTGAAGAGCTGAATAGTCTACACTTGCTCCTATTTTCTGTGTTTCCATGACAGCTGTTGGCCTGCCAGGGTATGAGTTGATTTTAACCTTTCCTTAATGTCTTTGGCTGAAGTGCCCTCACAATATCACTCCATCAACGGCAGCAATTGCCTACCTGGCCTTCAAAGTCCACCCAACATGCCTACGTGGCCTCTTAGCCACTCTTACCGTAATTTCCAACCCATTGCCTCCTTAAGCTGGATTTTTTCCTAAATGTAACACTAGAGGGTTTATGAGTGGCACGTGTTATTCATGCAACATAACTGCTGGGACATCTTCAAAAGGACAGAATTTCACTTTGATAATTAATTAATTAAAAACATTATCATTGCTGAATTCTCCATTTCCTGGGCATTACAATTGACCAGCAATTTAACTTAAACAGCCATTTTAGTAATCTGGCTACAAGGGAAAGTCAAAGGCTAGGAATTCTGTGGCGATTAACTCAGCCCTTACTTCCAAAGCCTGTCCACCAACAGGCACAAGTCAAGAATGGATATGGAATACTCCTCACTTGCCCAGATGAATAAAGCTGGAGACATGATGAAGACATCAAAGAAACACTTCATATGTAGACACCATCCAGGATACAGCAGCCCATTTGATCGCGACACTATCCATTACCTTCCACATTCACTTGCTCTACCACTGATATAGCTGCAGTATGTACCGCTAAAAAGATGCAATGCAGCAACTCACTGCAGGCTTCTGTGACAGCAGCTTGAAAACTCTCAACATCTACCACCCTATAGTAGACGTAGAGGAAAACCATCACTTTCAAGTTCCCTTCTGAGACATATATCATTATTACTTCACTGTTGCTGCTCCAAATCCTGGAAATTCCTTCCTAACAGCACTTTACCACATGGACTGCAATGGTTCAAGAAAGGCAGCTCATCCGCCAACTTCTCAAGGCAAAGAACAAATGTTAAATATTAAATTGTGGAAATTTAAAATGCATAGGATTGAAGTCAATGGTGCTGGATAGTGTTGGCCTCTCATTAAGACCATGAGTTTCAATATCCTCAAGGTCACCAAAGCTGCAGGAGCCTGGAACCAATTCCAGAAATTTTTTCTGCGAGTTCTGAACAAAGTGAAGTTCCTACAGTACTGTTTGAAAAGCAGCAAGTTATCTGGTTAACAAGCACAACCAATACCACTAACAAAATAGATCAGGTAATTATACAGATGGGTAACTGTTATTTTGACATTCTGCATATTTACCATAACAGTGACAGCTTTCAAAGTTTTCTTTGTTGGTGAAATGTGTCTTCTAGATTTGAAATTAGGTGGTTTCGATGTAATTTTTAAAATTTTCATTAGTACTTTGTCGTGGTGAGAATGGTTCAATACCTGCATGGGAAAAGGGAGGAGACTGGGTTAGCATTTTATGGGCAGTAGAATATTCCATTCCATGATCAGGCATGTTTTTCATTTGCAATTTTGCAATTTGCAATCAACAATTTTTTTCCCCAAATTTGGTTTCCACAATTCTGCATTCTTCTGGATATCAACACCATGTTTTTACAATAGTGACACTGTAACATTGAGTTACTATGTCTCTGAACTGCTTCTTAGTTGCTAAAATTTTAAGGTAACTTTACTGCTGCTCCCCCATCCCTGCACTTCTACTAAGACTGGGACTGCCTTCCTGGTTCCACTGTTTTTACAGATTCAGATATAACCTTGTTCCTGGTTAGAATTTCACTCCCTTCAAGTATGGCTCAGTGGTTAGCATTGCTGCCTCACAGTGCCTCATAGGGTCCTGGGTTTGATTCCAACCTTGGTTGACTGTCTGTGTGGAGTTTGCATGTTCTCCCCGTGTCTGCGTGGGTTTCCACCAGGTGCTCTGGTTTACTCCCACAGTCCAAAGCTATGCACGTTAGGTAGGTTGTCCAGTGATGTGCAGGTTAGGTGGATTAGCCATAGTAAATGCAGGGTTATGGTGGGCGGTTGGGTCTGGGTGAGATGCTCTTTATTAGGGTTGGTGCAGATGGGCTGAATGGCCTCTTTCCACACTGTGAGGATTCTAGGTACATTTCTGTGGATCTCCTGGCAGCTTCCAATTTTGTCATTACTTTCTTCTGCCCAGCAATTAATTCTGTACACCTCAAGAATCCTCATCGCTTTCGAAATATCTCCACCTTATTCAACAACCAGACTGCAAGAACTTACCAAAAGTAGCCCACCATTTTCCAGAACAAGAAGTGAGCATATGTGGGTGAAGGCAGTGAGGAAATGTTCCCCCACTGCTACTGTAATGTAGGCCTGGACTTCAAGTTCTCACAGGAGGCCATTAGTGGAGCCAAATCAACAAGAAGAGTTCCATTCACAAGGAATGCATTGATCCAGGGCTAATCAATACATTCTGAACAAGCATTGTGATCCAGATGAAGATGCAATGGATCATTATTATTTGCAGAGACTACTTGCGCTAAATCAGGAAATATGACTGTTTTGAGAAGTGACAGAACATCTCTGCGCACTAAACACCCTGTTTCAAGGATATATGGAATGGGACAGTGTGACTGTAGGAAGATTATGATGCTCTCAGCAAGACTGTACATTTCAATGTCCTCAAGTCACCAAATATGCACCAAATATGATTGTGAAGAGAATCAGCCAAAATAAAAAGTTTGTGAATAGACTAAACAGAAAAAAACCCTCCATTTGCGTGCACTCCAATAATTTCCCTTCAAGTAGTTTCTGGACTTCACTAACTGAATTTAAGAATATCTAAGATTAAGGAATAGAAAAATGAGTAGACCATCCACCCATCAAGTTGTACCATTATTCAATAAGATCAATCTGATCTGATTAAACCATTTCCTGTCTGCTTCCCTTTTGGATTCCCTTGTAGGTCAAAATCTAATGTGGCCTTGAATTGCCCAACCTCCAGTGACCCTGTTGTCTGTGAAGAAGTCTGAAGGTTAATGACTCTCTGAGAGAAGAAATTCCTTCTCATCTCTTTCTTCCATGGGGGTTGAATGAGCACACTCGAGTTCAATTTTCCCACATATCCTAACAGTTTATATCCCCCAACCCCTGACTAGCCAAGGTAGAGAAGGGAAGGGGAGTCCAAAAACAGTGGGCTTAAGTTTAAGGTGCGAGGGGAAAATTTAAAATGGACCCGAGGGGCAACTTTTTCACACAGAGGGTGGTGCATATATGGAATGAGCTGCCAGAGGAAGTGGTGGAGGTGAGTATAATTACAACATTTAAAAGACATTTGGACAGATATATGGATAGGAAAGATTTAGAGGGATATGGGCCAAATGCAAGCAAATGGGACTAGTTCAATTTAGTAAACCTGGTCATCATTGATGAGTTGGACCAAAGAGTCTGTTTTTGTACTGTATGACTCCATGACTCCTATGACACAGCAACCCTAAATGTACAATTCTACTCTTTTACTAACTTAATGCTCCCACTAGGGGCTAACCTTGCCAACCCTCCAATTCATCTCTCTCAGTGCTTACTGTGTGGTCTCTGTCAGTGAATCAGCTCACACTCTGCCCTCTCTGTATATCCCTCCATAATGTCCATTCATTTATGATCAAGGCTCTTGCCATCTATTAGCATATTGAGGATGATTGTCTCAATGTCAGGGCCATGATAGAAATGTGACTGACAGTTGATGATACTCTCCTTCTAACTGAAGGCTCCTTGCCCCAACTAGGCTGTTGCGGTGAATTTATCACCAAATCACACTTGGCACTTTTTCTTCCTTTGAGGGTGTAAACCTTGTTCTACCCAATCACTGTCCATTTAAAATCCTCATTTTGTATTGCCCTCCCAAGTACCAAATTTTTCTCACTGTGGTTTCTTGCCTTAATAGCTTCTGTACTGAATGCCTTCTCATTCTCAGTGACTTCAATCTCCATCTCCACTCACATTGCTCTCCCTCCTCTGAGCTCGCTGTCCTCTGATCCTCCCTTCATCTCCCTTTCCTTGTGAACTCTCCAACCCAAAATATATGGCTCATCTTCCTTCACCTTGCCATTTCACTTAGCTGCGTTCCTCTCATGGTGTTATTTACAGATGAGGCCACCTCTGATCCCTTCCTTGTGTTGTTCCCCATTCACATTCACCTTCCCCCTTTTAACCACAAACCAGTCTGTGCTCACCCTGAAATAATAGTTTTCCAATGTACGTACAACTGCATTTCTAAACTTCAACGTGTCTAATCTTTCGACTCTCTGTTAACCATAATCTTCTCCAGTGACTTATTTGTTCTCCACCTTCAATGCTGTGATGCCCAATAAAATCATTACTCTACTCCCAATCTGGCCATTCCTGCTGATATGCACCTTAGTTACACTCTCTTATCTCTAATAGGTGAATGGATATGGCACACAACACTGGTTTAACCATTCACTATCAGATCTGGCTGGACCACATAAAACGCTCTCCAGTCTCAGTAAAACTACTCAATATCCCAGGATCATTCCTCAATGTAATTTGGGATTTTCAATCTGACTCCTGCCCCTGACTGTAGTAGGTGAGAAAGTGGGTTTAGATGTGAGGTTTGGTCCAACATAAGGGGATCTTTAGAAGAAGTTTGGCTCAGTGGACAAGTGGAGTTAATGGAGGGAAGTGATTTGTTCTACTTTACTCAATGTATTCTCTCTATTGAAGCAATCAATTTAAAACCTTGTCCCCTGTTGCCTCCATTTACAACTCCAATAATAAATACATAATAATAAATACGTATTAATCGATTAAAACTATCTAACTGATTAAAGATCTACCAGCATCTTAGGTTTGTTTAATATATCCTCATCAGTTGTGTGATCCTTTGATCTTTTACTTGTAAATTCTGTGTTCTGTGTGCTTCTTTCTCACTTCACCTGACAAAGGGGCTACGCTCCGAAAGCTTGTGTTTTCAAATAAACCTGTTGGACTATAACCTGTTGTCATGTGATTTCTGACCTTGTCCACCCCAGACCTACACTGGCAGCTCCACATCAATGATAAATGTGAGGAATTACTTTGGCATAACATTGTGACTTGGCTTAAGGCAATCTCTTCAGCTGTTGCTGCCACTTCCCTCATTTAACTCCACTGAACTAAACTTCCTCTAAGTATCCTCTTACACTCGACCAAACCTTACATCTTTCCCTACTTTCTCACCGATCTCCCCTATTACAGACAAGGAAGGGAGTCAGTCTGAAATTGTTCCATTGTTCAGTCCATTAGGCTGAAGTTTTGTTTCCCAAACCCTGTTTATGAATATCAGAGTCTAGTGAGAGGGGCTGTTGCATGCAGGAGTTACTTACCAGGCAAGACCCGATAACTGAAGAGAGGATTTGTGGAGTTTCTTTGGTGTAAGAGATGTGCAGCAAGTAGAGAAGGTGGCTTTAATACATGTAACTAAGAACTTGCTTGCTTTCCCAGGTGAATTCAGTACTTTTCAGAAATCAGAGACTTTAAAACTTCAAACCTTTGGTTGAGTAAAAGTCTGGATAATGTAGCCTGCTTCTTCTGATGTTACTTCTTGCAGATTGCCACAAAGAAAGCAAGACATCTTAATAAAAAGTTTTCAGAAATCAAAGTGCATCAGACATACAATGATGCCATTGAAAGCAATCGATAGTCTATTGATACTAAGGTAGGACTTCTCATTGTCAAGAACCATCACCACGTAACAGAGGCGGACAGGTGACCTTAGCACTACTCTTGTACATAGCCAGTTTTGTTAATTCCGTTATATACCTCAAGGGTAGATTGGAGTCAGAAAGACTGGACTTGTCCTTGCTGTTTTGGGGTCCAATGGCAGGTGTGACATTCCACAAGGATGTTATTCAGGCATTGCAATCTGTTTTAGGAGGCTTCCAAAAATGTGATAGAAGTTGCAGTTCTAAAAGTCAGGTAAATCATGGCAGCCACCTTAGAATGAATAGTGTTTTATTAAAAGAGGTTTTGTCATTTTTTAAAGAAAAATAATATCCTTATGCATTCTCCCCTTCTTGCCCACTTCAAGTACATCTTACCATTAAAACAAACCTCCTGCTTCTTTGACCATGTTTTTAGTGAACTGCTGACAACTTACCTTTGCTTCCTAGCTCCGATGTTGACTGTTCATGTTAATGGTTCTCTGTACGCAAGTACTGATCCCTAACTTTCAAATCTGCCGTAATCACTTCTCTTCAGAAAACAAAACAAGCCATAACTCCAGAATCATTTTAGAATGGTAAGATAATCCCCAGTTTCTTTTCTCTATTGCCAGCTATCGCCTGCCTGTCAATTCCATCCTCAACTCCAACAAGATAATCACCCACTTCCATTCTCCCTTTATTTTCTCAAATGTTCGAATAGCTGTTGCCCTTCAAATCGGTGTGCACCCTTTTTTT